GGGGCGGGGTTCCCCCTCAGGGTGGAGGGCCGCTCTCTTGCGAGGAGCCGGCGTAACTTCCCCGTTCTGGCTCCGTTTCCGCCGGGGCTCGAGCGCGGTGAGCTGGCCGCCGCCTTTCCCCGGCCCTCGTCGCTGCCGTGTCGCTACCGCTCCGGACAAAAACTGGGCCGTAAGCGGGCGGGCGCCTTTGCCGCCTCCCGCTTCGGGGAAACCGGGTGGGGAGCTTCCTTTCCGTACCCTGGCTCTAGGGCCGGCCGTCGCTTTGTACGCGAAGAGTGATGCGGGGGAGCCGTAGTTAAGTTGCCTCCAGCTTTGGTACCAAGCGAGAAAGTCGAAGTGCCAGCCTGCTACAGCGCCCTTCCACAATAAACTCGGGGCTGGCGAAGGGTGTCCCTGGCCGCCTGCGGGGGGCCGCGTCGGCTGGGCCGGTTTGTTGCGGGGTGTGTAAATACACACGATGGTTCCAGCCTGAATTCCTTTTTTTTTTTTTCTTTCCTCCTTTTTTACCCCAAAAAGTAGGGATGGAGTCACTCTGCCCATGAAAGCATTTTGTTCTGAAGCAGTATTCACCATGCTTCAAAAAGGACATAAGCATAATAAAACGTTTTATATAGTTGAGATTTTTCCCTTTTCACCCACTGGAATAACAGCTTGTATAGCTAAGACTACCTGTAGGCATTCTTCTATCCAAGTAGCACGTTCTGCTAAAATATTTGAGAAAGCTTTTAGGCTACTGATGGTCTTAAATATAATGAAGTTTCAAATATAATGTGGTTTCCTACAGAAGAGTATTTTTATTAGAAGGACACAAATTAACACAGGCTGCTGTAGCTTGAAAATGATTTAAGAAAAAAAAAAGAACCAGACAAAACCAAAACCACATGGGTATGCATGTATACCACCCAGGCTAATCGAAATCATCCCGAGAGCAAAATAAGCAGCTTTTAAGCTTGCTTCATGACTTCAAGCGAAACATTAAAGGCCAATAAGGGTAGTGACAAAACTTAAAGCAGATCTGAAGCTGTGTGTTGTCTCCAATCAAAGCAATTGGTTTCATATACTTTTCAAGTAGGTACAGTTTTGCTGATAAACAACAGAGTACGTCTGATGGGTAGAAGAGGGAGAAAGACACGTACACGGAAGATCGCCCAAAGAGCGTGTCTCGTTATTAAGGTATGATACCCATGTCTCTACGTTGAAATGACATGTTGCATCTTGGAAAGGGAACTTTTCGCTAGATGGATGTGCTCTGAGTTTCCAGTTTTGACAGACAGAAGTAGGATATATACTATCATAAAAAACTTACTTATAGCCTCAAAGCTTGAGATTGATGACATGGATAGGAATATAGATATGTCTTAATTCAGTAAATATAAATGAGCTTCATACATTCTGTAAACAAGTTTAATTCAAAATTCTTATAAAATACATCTCGTATTTACACACATACCTCATCTAAAAATATGAGTTTGTTGAATTCAAAGTTATTACAAACTATCAGAACCATTTGAGAGCTGTTTGTACATGTTTCTTGCACAGCATATGCAAAAGGTGACCCTAGAGATACTAAGATTAAAAGGTGCAAATCTGCAATTGTGTACAAAATATGTACTATGTTAAGTGCATATCTACATTGCATATTACACATGTGCCAAGTCTGTGGAAAGGAACAGTTAAAATTGCAACTATAAATTTCACAGAACATTAGTATAGAGAAAATGAAGATATTTGGAGATTAACTAGAACATTCTCACATCCTTTGAATATTCATAGTCATTTCAGATGCACAGGATCCATTATGGACATCTAATGAACAGCTACGCAAAGAGGAACTAAGCTTAAAGCTCTCTGACAGCCCAGTAACCTAATGTTTGGGTGATGTTAGTTAAACATGTATTCACAGGGTCTGGATTGAGTCTTCTAATACTAGTTGGATATTCCTGTTAAAAAAAAAATACAAGTCATGAAAAAGAGATAAGACCAGATTATCATGCAAGATCCCAAAGCTAACATGCCTTTTTTTTTAAATACACTGTAATTGCATATTTTTTTTAGAATGTGGTATGAATGCTCACAAAACACTTGCAGGTAAGTACTAAGCTGCTCCTGTAATTGCTTTAGTACGACTCTGCAGTAATTCCACCAGAACTTCTGCAGAACTCAAAAATTACTGGAAAGTTGATCACTCTACCAGTTTTTCTCCTTTTATGTATTACAAGCTAGAGTATGACATTATAATTTATGTCCAGCATCAAATCTAAGTAGTTCTGTTTAAAACCAACACAAGCATCAGCCAGAAAAGCAGACTGAATAAGCTAAAGGTTTGTGGTAGAGTTGGAATTTAAGTATGTATTTTGCATCAGTAACAAGTGGTAAAAAGAAGTTACTAAAATGGCAAGTTACACAGTCTAAAAAGCTGAAAAACTACAGTTCTGATAAGGAAATATGTCCATCAGGGATCAAAAACAGCCCTTGCTATTACCTTGTCATGGTCGATTTTTATTCGCAGCATCAAAACAAAAAAAAAAAAAAAAAGAGAGACATGGGGAATGCTTTCTTTCTGTTACCAAAAAAAAAATAATACTGAAGACTGCAAATGCCTAAGTTAGTACCATGCAAAGTGAACTTCAGCGGACTTCCCTTGTGAAGAAACGTTACCATAAGGACCATTACATAAGCAATCAACACAGTACACAGGAAATATTTAACATGTCATCACGTTATTACATAATCCTCGGATAGTCAAAATTAGCAAGACTGTAATTGTTACTAAGGCTGTAATTCTGCCTTATTTAGTGGAGGGAGAATCTGGCCTCACAAATCTTTTTTATTTCTCTTTACAAGGGATTAATAGTACTGGGGGAAAAAAAAAAATGGATGCATGTTAAATACATGCTATTAAAAGCAAGACAGAGCAAGATGTTGTAAAACATAGTTAGGGAAGCATTAATTTTATTTCGTCATCATAAAATAACATTGTTTAAAGATCACACAAATTTGATAGATTATCTCTTTTCTCCCACATTAAGCCAGCATTACAGTTGAGAAAGGTGTTCACCCGTTTCTCTGCAAATTTATACTTTTAAGTAAAATAATTTGATTCTCTAAATATGCATTTTAATTAATTATGTCACGCAGTAAATATCTTGCTCCTTTGGTCAGAGATAGTAAATGAAGACTTCAAATACTTGTATCTTCAATTTTTAAAAACCCAATATACATCCTTAACCAAGGAGTATTTACGCTACACACAAGCCATAGATACAAAATACACAGTATATACATGTTTTGAAAACAAATTGGAATTTGTAAAAACTCAATAGCCAAATCAAAGTAATTGAGGCACTAAATTAAAAGTAGTATCTTCATGTCTTGATTATACAGACTATTCTGTGAACAATCAGGACTGTTTCATAAATATATATTATCTACAGAACTTGCTGTGCCAAAAAAGCCAGCTGTGTTTAAGCTCAAAAGAAAAATTGCACTTTGAGATTGTTACAGTTACCTTCTCATTTTTCTCCTCAAATATAGTAATCTGGTCCTAGTGCTTTTGGCACAGGTATCGAGTCGTGTTTTTGCTACACTTTCTTATAAAACACAAGGTTCTTTTATTTTGTTCATTAAAATCTGAAGAGTCTTAAACAAACCTAGAACTTTGATACAAATCTATATAGCTACAATTGCTTCATTAAATAATATACACAAATATGCTCTTCGATCTTAAAACATCTTGACAACTGGATACAAAACAGTCACTTGTATTATCTCCAGCCTCCTTAATCTTATGCATTATCAGTCTGCAAATGAATAAAGTATGGTTTCTGGCCACATCTTGCACTAGATCACACCCCAGTGTACAAGGACAGAAAATAAATGTATAATAAAAAGATTGGATAAATTAGAAGGGGTTTCTTGGTCTTGAATTCTTCTCCAACTAGTAATGATGCAGCACTGTATGCAGCCCAAAAGACTCCAAACAACTGAAAAAGAAGATGAACAGTCTTAGCTGAAACCACAAGAAAATCTCTCCAAATACCAAGATAAAAATCAGTTATTCTCTCAATGTAATTAAAAAGAAACCTTCCAAAAAAGAATTTGGAGGGGGGAAGAACTCCACACACATACACACACACAAAAAGAATAGACTATGCATTTTCATTTAAGTTTAGAGAAATGTTTAACAAATAGGCATGTTATTTTTGTTTGAGACATTTTTACTGAAATGAGCAGCTAAGGATCTACAGTAAGTTTTCTCTAATGTAAGACATATAGATACCATAAAGCAAGCCCTAAGCTTACATACACTGATAAGCTGAAATGTCACTGGATTAATAACTTTTGTTTCTACCTTGACTGTCCCCAGCTATTAACCCCTCCCTTTCTTTAAGCAAAAGTTACTATACTTGACTCTTCCTCCTACAATATATACCAGAGGGTTGAATTACCATTTTTTACTTCAGGATTCGTCTGGCTCATAAGCTTTTCTTTAAGTATGGTGCCCCCACCTCAAGGTAACTGAACCTCACATTCCTATTCCTCTCAGGTGCAGTGAGAAGCCTGCCAAAATACAATCTGTAACAAAAACTATATTCCTTACAAAGCTAAGAAAGAACCAGTTTAAAAGACTGGTAGAAAGTAACATTATCTATGAATATCCACTATGTTATATGAAGTTAGCATGCATACTTTAAAAAAAAAAAAAGTCTTGAGGTCAGTGAACTTGATTCAGACCTCAAACTAACAAGGTTACAGCAAAAAGTAATCAGACATCATTATCCTCTAGCACCTTGAATATTAATAAAAAAGGAAAAATACTTAAAACTGAGTGGCATGCAAAAACACTGTAATCTTCTGCAAAACACAAGACCAAAGCAGGCAGACATAATAGGACCCCAGCAAAGACTTTTTTCCACAGTTCTGTCAGAGGAGCTGAAGCCCCCTGAGGGATTATGTGGCCCTTTCAACTGCTATTGTAAAAAAAACCACAACAAAACAACAACAACAACAAAAAAACCCCAAAGCAAAAAAAATTGCATGTGATTGCATACTTCCATTTTTGCTGCCTAACCCACGACTGCAGAGATGGACAAGACGGACAATCAAGATCATGACTGAATTCCCTAAGATACATTAGGAAAATTGCAGCAATTAAAACAATTGAGGTGCATTACTTGAGTAGTTTACTTTGCTGATTGCAACTGAAAAAGAACTGACTGGAATTTCACTATTTCACTGTAACTTCCCCAACTTTAGGACTGCGAAGTATTTCCCCAAGCACAGAGCTCTCAAGCCGTAAGAAGCAGTACTTGTCACGGCGTAAGCAGTTTTGGCCATATGGGGCTTGTCCTGCATTTTCACACTAATGATGCAAAGGTAAGAACCTTGCACAGATTTGCCCTGAAGTTAAGGTGAGACTGTTAGTAGTAATCAAGTAACAGAGGTTTCATTAACATATATTTATTTTCAAGTTATATATTAGTTAACTGCCAAGTTAATGATTTGCTTTCTGACTGTATCACTTAGTAGGAATTGCAAGTTATCAAATCACAAACACAGCAGTTTTGTTATTTATCATACACTTTAGTTGTACTTCAATTATACTGTTTACCAGCAAGCTGAAAGGACAGAAATCGATCAAATCAACAGAACAAGAACTCAAAAAGCGTACAGCTTAGCTAGTAACAGAATTTTCTCAGTCAGCCTTTCCAGAAGTTCAGCTGTAACTTCAAAGGCTACCTAAATGGTTTTAAGAAGTGCTGGAAGCGTTCAAGAACGTTATGTAGTTCTGGGATCTATCGGGGAATGTTGCTAGTTTCATAAAAGGTGTCCAACAGCAGGTGGTATCAGGCAAGTTATTCTTGCTTTGTGCCTTACATTCCACATCTGTAAAATCAGAACAATACTTACCTTCTTTGCAAAGGGTGTTGAGAGCTTTGTACTGCTACCACTATGGGAAGGTCTCAGAACAATGACTAACGTCATATTCATGCTGCAGTAACTAAAAATAAACTGGATGATGGGGGAAGGGATAGAACAGCTTATTTTCAGGTTCTTCATTTTGAGGTTTAATCATGCATCCTCTTCTCAAAATGATAATCCTATTTATTTTAATGCAACTATTATAGCACAGCAAAGTACTTAAACAGAAGCTAACCTGATAACAACAGGTGTTGTTATAGCAACAGCACTGTATATCCCCACGTACGCATAAGAAACATTTTAAACAGATTCGCTTAGCAGTCACATCCACCATGCTAACCGAAAGGATGACAGAGCTCACGTTGCAGTTCTGAATATTTCGACGCATCATTATGTTGTCCTGAACAGATTAATACTTGAAGTGTTAGGAAAGTGACTTAAAAATAACTGTAAACAATTCTCAATAGATGATACTGAACTTACTTTTATTAGGGTAGAAACAACTTCAAATGATCCAACCACCAAAAGTACAGGTGCTATGACAATGAGGGGAAGTAGGGAATATCCTATCACACCAAGAACTTGGCCATAAGCAACCTGTAATTTTCAAGCACATAAAAACAAGCTTTTTAGTACTCAATCTTTGACACCAAACACAATTTGATCTTGTTATAACAGTATGAATAGCAATGATAATGTGTTAGGTATTCATGAAATTTCAGCTAAAGGAAACTTGCTAGTATGAAAATTGTTTTTGTATCCTAGCCCCTAGAATTTTCTAATTAATAATTCAGTTCTCTTAGAAATATGTTGTCTTTTCTTTTTTCTTTTTTTTTCCCCTCTAAAAACGCTGTAAGTGACAATTCTATCACTTCCAAGGGAAGTATTTACAGAGGTTAAAATATGTAATTCCACCCACCCCTCACATTTTCATGTTCCGCCTTAAGTGGTTCTCAACTGCCACTCTCCATGGAGTGTACAAATGATACTGAGGAGCACAGAACTACAACAGACCTCTCAGTCACCAGCTGCAGTCCTGGCTGTCACAAGCAGCAAAGATATAATTTTCTGCGTTAACATACTCATATCCATTATGCGTAAATATATTCATAAAGTACATTAATGCTTTTGGCATCAGTGGAAGACTTAGAACCCGATCCCTCTAAAGCACAGAAATCTTCTGATTTTCAGTTTAAATTTGTTATGACTATCTCAAACAGCTTTGTTCAAAGTATTTCCATAACTGTTTTCAGCTTCATGGGGATTAAAATGTCCGATTTTCCCCTACTACGGTTTGAAATGTTCCTGGGCCCAGCTACGCTTCTTGGATTTAACAGGAAAAACAGTGGCGGGACAAGCGACCATCTTGCAAGCAATCTCTTGTGGCCACTGATCCTTCACAGTGAACTGTGCAGACCTATACTTTCTCTCCAGTTTATACATTCTGATAATTTCACATTTTGAGCCACAAAGCAGATTGATTTAAGGACATCTGGATTATGCTGGTATGCAGAAAACCCATGCAATCACATTCATAAAAGCTTTTTCTTTCAAAACAGTGTTCACACAAGACGACTGTAGCAGTTATGATTAAAAGGAAAACCTAAAAATATTAAAGTCAATGTAAATAACGTAGGAAGTCTGCAACACTAGTTCGTCATTAACGCAAGATGCATAGTAAAAACATAAAAATCAAGTATCACTGAATATTTCGTTCTTCACGACACAGTTCAATGCGTTTTATGCTGCAGAGCCATTTTAAGAAGTTTCTACTCTCCTGAATGTTCCGCTGTAGCTGTCTGTGGGCCTTGCTGTAAGTCATTTTTTGTTGTTTACACCTGAATCACTTAGTGACTCAATTTGTAAACAGCTCAAACAGCTATTCCAACCCTGCTGGTGTAAGCAGCTGGAGGGAGGGATGTAGGCCAGAATCTCAATTGGCTTTGCAGTTGAAGAACATGTGCTGACTTTCATCCTTTAATGGGTTTGAACTGCATCAGGCCAAGGATGAAAACAAATATTGGTAGGTGCTCTACCCACGAGGTCATTATACAACTGCTGTTAGCCCCATTAAAAAAAAAAGTTTCAATAAAGGACAGTGCAAGAGCAGTGCAAAGGAGAAGAAAGGGTCCCATTTAGCTCAGTGACCAAAAAATTGAAAGCACTTGTCCCTCAAGAATGGACTTCAGTTCTGGAACAAAGGCACCTGTTAGAATTTCTGGGATACATAGTACAAATTTCCAGGTTGTTTACCACGTCCAGCGTGCACAGAAAGACTAGCTGACCATCTCTGTTTCTTAGATTTTATTTTGGAGGCCAAGAACCTGAAGTGTAGACATTACATTTACCAACTGCATCCATTCTTAGTTGGCTACAAGGTCCAAAGCCAAGCACCAAGAACCCCCAACTACTACTGAAAAATGTAGCAGAGACTTTACATTACCTCCCTCTATGTCCTTTTCACATACAGGTACTTACTTCTCCTCCAAGAACCCTGGCCAGTAAAAAAATTGTCAAGGATCCAAATATCCAAATAGTTATAATCCAAGAAACAACCTTAAGAGATAAAGAATTCATTTATATTAATCATTTTCATTGTGAGAAAGGAAAACTAATTTCTATTAATCACTTTCACTGCATTCAAGGATTTTATTATGCAAAAATGAATTCTGAATTGTGGCAAGAATAATTTTACTTAGTATCACAATGCAACTTGAGAATAAAATTCAGAGGTTACATTTACAGAATCACATTAATGGTAGGTTTGGTGAACATGGAATGCACATGCAACGTGTTTGTGTTTTGTAAGTATTGTAATATTTTTATCAGAGTAGGAAGGGTTTAGTTAAAACTAAAGCTAAGACCACCCTAGCTAAATGTCTTCACATCCCACCTATTACAAAAAGTGGGCTCGGACAGTTTTTAAAAGTCAGCCCAACCAATACAAGGAGTTGGAATTCTGCTTCTTTCATCCACGAAGACGCCACTTTATTCTTTACTCAAACTGAGAACACTCAGAAGAAGACATAGGACTTCAACTCTCAGTAGAACTTGATGATGATTACAACTTCAGAAACAGCCCCAGACTCCTGGGACAAAGTCTGTAATTATTTTTTCTTGCTTCTTTCATTGGTCTGCTCTTAAACTGAAGAAGAAATCTTAAAATAATTTTCTGACATAACAGAACCTTCAAAGTAACTTAGCTATTCTTGGAGTTGAGGCACTGGGAGAATTAGAAATGAAGTCCTCCCTTTTGAAATACCTTTTAAGAGGGAAAGAACAGTATCAGTCCAGGCTCTGCATTTCCAAATGTACAACGGCTGCACTTAAAAATGAAGTTAGAACTCAATTAAATTTTTTTTCTTAACTAGAAGTTCCAGATTCACAGAAGAATCATAGAATCATTAAGGTTGGAAAAGACCCCTAAGATCATCGAGTCCAACCGTCAACCCAACACCACCATGCCCACTAAACCATGTCCCTAAGCGCCTCATCTACACGTCTTATAAATACTTCCAGGGATGGTGACTCAACCACTTCCCTGGGCAGCCTGTTCCAATGTTTAACCACTCTTTCAGTAAAGAAATTTTTCCTCACGTCC